TCATCGTCTATGCCTGCCGATATGAAAGCAAGGGCGCCTGGAAGACGCTTTTGAAGTCGGCTTCGCGATTCTTCGGCAACAATTTGCCCAGGACGGTTGGCGACGCCTTCGATGCTCTGGTGGATGGCGCGTGGTCGCTGGTCTCCTGGACCTGGACCAAGCGAGGATCTGTTCTGTGCCTTCTGTGCTGAGATCTGCTTGTGACAAACCAACTGGCCTCTTCAGCACTCAACATTCGGGGTTTGGGGCTGTATGGGACCTTCAGACTCAGATGTTGACCTGCTTGTCAAACCAACTATGCACACCGAATACTTTGAAGCAGCATCCCAGGACATTTAGCCTGCCAGCCTGTTGGTTTCGTGAGCCTCCCGTATGTCCCTTAGCCCCTGATCCTTGAAAGAAATTCGGTGGACCCCGATACCTGTAAACACAAAGCGGAAGCCATGGCTGCACGATTGGACTACTCACGCTTCGACCACATCGGGGACTCCGAGTCTGAGGAGCCCTTGGCTTTTGGAAGGGAATGATTAAAAAGAATTGGCAGGCTTTTGGTTGCGGCTAGGATGTGGAAGGCTCCGGGCTAGTCAGCGTAGGCCTACGGATGAGGCGCACTCGTTAAATGCAACTCAAAACTCCCGAAGACCTGCACCGAGAAATCAAACTCCTGCAGGTATGAGACCGTGCCACCTAACCGACGCCCGACTTCGCTGACCGTACAAATCCTGGTTTCGAAGTACCTTACTTTGCTTTAGAGCAATGCTCGAAAGCTGCCGTGAATTGCAGAGTGGATCGCGCGCGAAGTGGTGGAGGTAGGGGTCGTCGTGAGCTGTGTGCATAGCAGTGTAGCCTTACCTTGCCTATCAGGGCACCGCAATGAAGCTTGAAACCGGAGTCGTGACACTCTTTCCTTGCTGTACTGGTCTCTTCAGCTCTGAACAAGTTGATGACCGTATCACCTGGTCTGTGATGACGTCCTGATTGCAGCATCGGAGCCTGTAGTCCAACTCGGCGACGCAAGCCCAAAATCCTGGTTTGAGGTGCCAAAGTGCAACCGCATAGAGCAACACAGACTCAGCAAGGAGGAGAAGCCACCGGAGGTTCCTCATCCTGCCGCGGACGCGAGCGATGTGCTGTCAGTTCCTTGGACCACAAGACTGCAGAGCAACATTCCATCAATTGGTGTGCCACGATCGTCTCTATGGGGATCAGCAAAGGCTGGGATGCACAGGTTTGGGTCTGGCATTTCATGCCGCAGGGCTGCATACCCCGTTGCAGTTTCTTGCATGTTCCAGACAAGTCGGAAAGAGCAGCACCTTTTGTCTACAGTCTCACAGTTAAACTGAGAAGAGTTGAAGCTTCCTGTCACAAGAAGACACGACCCAAGCCAGTCATCCAAGCCGAAAGCCGGCACAACCATAAGAGGCACCAGGCTGCTGCATGATCCATACGCTGCAGTCCTAAATCTCGGGGGCGGGCCCCAGAGTCCCAGAGCAACAGCCGCAGATATCTTTGGACCGCAAAGGAAGACATGTCCCATCTGTCCACCGGTCCACCGGTCCACCACCCCACGTTCTTGGTCAGCGAAGAGACTGAGATTCGGCCGCGTCGCGGAATACTCGCAAACGCCAGAGATCCGAGGAGCTTCCGTCAGACCTTCCCAGGGATCTGGCCTTGGTCCTGGCAGCGGCTTGGACGAGCACTCTTCATTTCAGGCTCAGGGCCGGGGTGCAAAGTTGCCGTATAGCTGCCAGTAGCGAAGATCGGGAATTGGCCTGATGCCACGTGTGCAAAGCACATTCACCAAGGCCCGGCAAGGGCAGCACAACTTGGTGGAGGCGCTCCTGAAAAGCCGCGTGGAGGCTCTTGTGGCAACAACAGCTCAGATCAGTGATTGCCAGTGTAATTCGCCATTCCAGGCAAATGCTGCGGACCCACACGGGGGCAGCGCCTTGCTGCGAGCTGTGGAGTCAGGCATTGCGGCATCACGATAAAATTACAACAAGTGTAGACGTTCCTGGATTGTGTTGGTGCAGGTTGTCGTTCGTCTATTGTACGAGGACATGCTGTGTCTTCCATTGGTCCTGTGCTCCGATTCCAACTGATCATAGTGCAGTCGGCAAAGAAGGTAGGTGCACATGTCGCATGTGTTGCTGTCGCATCCGTTTCCATGAGAAGCAGCCCGGCTGTCGGCATGCCACGGCGTTGCAACTGCTTAGCCATGTTCAGCTCTGATTGCATGTAACGACGCATCGCTCTGCGTCGCTCTCCTTCCCAGCCCTCTGCACGTGCCAGGTGGCGTGCAAGCGCGGCCGACGATTGAAGCGCTGCTGACTGCCAAAGCGAACCCTTGCCAGGCCATTCGGGCCAACTGTCCCGTGGTTTTGGGGTGGATTCTGACAACGACGCTAGCACTCCAAAGTCGGCTGAACAGAATGACAGCCTCGGAGGTGGAGCCCTGATCATCTGATCCCACAGCTGAGAATCCATGTGGCCCAGGACCTCATTGCCTAGGCCTAGGCTAATCCGCATATCGAGGCAAAAGAAGGCTGCATCTAAAGCATGATGGCAAAAACGCCGAGAGCCACAATGCAAATGCACCGAAACCTCAACCTTAAGGTAACGAGATCAAGCCCCTCTGAACGTCCGCCTGAGGACAATGGCGCAGGCGAGTCGGCGTTGTCCTCAGCGTCATCCAATGGCCCGGCAGAGCCGTGGCTGAGAACCGTCCGCTCAGGTGTGCGGCAGGTTGTCCTGCTCGCGATTTGTAGGCTGCAAGACAGGGGCTTAGATCCGTAGATGCCCGTAAATATCGCAGATTCGCCGAGATCTGTAGTGTTGAAAAGTCATGAATTGGAAGCCTCCAGACACACGCAGACTTGGCGATTGCAGCGCTCTGGTAGCATGCCGTCGCGCAGCCCGAATCACAATTCCTGCTTACTCGCAAGTCTTCAGACACCCCTCAGAAGCAATCTTCTACGTGCATCGCATGTGTGTGTGTGTGTGTCAGGAAAACCAGCTTTTTCCTTTGTCAAGTTGGATGACCGCTTTGACAGTCTGGTTTCTGCTGCGATCAGTCTTGCGGTGGCGGGTTGGGAGCACGAGCCCGGGACGAGGAGCACATCCGAGGTTGATTTCCTTTCAACTGCCTGACGACGGACTTATTAAGCAGACCTCCAGATCACCGGATGCTGAAGAGAAGAAACTGCAGCAGCCAACGAAACATACAACAAAAGTGATATACCGGGTTCTTCTGTGGGCCATCCGAGTCTTCAAGGCTTCAAGGTTCAAGGTCCGCCCAGTGTGATAAATCTGAGCCACTAGAGTATTACAGTATGGCCTCCGTCCCTGAATAAAAGCCATAGGCCCAACATGATCCCAACAAGTATACCAGGTGCCAACCAAATCTTGTCACAGCGGCTTGATAGTGCATCCTAAGCTTCGACATGCTGGCACCACAGTCATCCTACACCCGAGCCCTTCGTGAGCCCAGGAACTCTTGAAAGCTTTACTGGCGGCAGCCGTGCCATAGATGCATATTCAAAGGACTCGTCATAAACCTTATCAGGTCATGATTAGGTTTGTGCTCAACTCAAAGTTCAGGTGGTTCGACGGTTCTGGGATGTAGGATACGACAGCTTGCAGAGTTTGCTGTAGGTCGGTGGGTTCAGCTTGGTTTAGTTGGGCCCCTTCTGACGGGAAATCCCGACATCTCTTTGAGGCTCGATTTTTGTGAGGGAGTCCTCCAGGAAGACCATCAGACCATAGTTTGGGCCTCCATGCTTCAAGGAGAGGCGGCAACATGCACCACGAAAGGGGTATTCATCCTGCACACGACGTCAAGAAGCCATGCCGCCATGTCAATCAGAGGTACAGGTTCCCAGCCCCGCAGCCCTCTCAGCAGCTTTGGCTGCTGCAGCTGCGAAGGGGAACCGTGCCACTGCAGAGGCGAGACAGACCTACTGCGACGGCGTGCAGTTGCGAAAACACTGCACGAGTCATGTGTCGGACAGCAGGTGAGGATTTTTCAGGTTCTGCTCATCGAAAGCCGGAAAGATTCCTTGCTGCACGGTTCTTCGGGGCACCGATCCCACAAGCAATGGGTGTGGTCAAATTGGAGAAGCATTTTGGGACCTTGCATCAGGCGAAACTCGTGACTGTGTTATCACGGGGGCTAGTCTAGTTCAGGATGCCCACTTTTTGGCGCGTCCTCCATAGTTCCCCTAACATTGTGGCGGAGACTGTGGGGTTCGAACCTTAGGCTTCAGGACGTGCCACGTGACACTGTTTGTGATCCGAAGCCAATCTTCGCAGGTTCTCCTGGATGCCGGAGCCCCTGCTGCAAATGCCGCACTCCACAGCTGGGTGGCTCGGAATCTCTCAGAGCTGGATCTCACAGTTAAAACTTACCTCTTGGTTTCCTGAGTGCATTTCACGCCTCCACGATGCACTATTGGTGAAAGCCGTAGCTGCTGGCCACCACATCAAAATTTGGCTTACTCACGCTGCTCATTTCTCGAAGCTTGCGATGGGCAGTGCAGAGCTGGAGGTGGGTCATGCTGACACTGGCATGGTGCAGTACCTTGCGGAGAAGCGTGCGAATGTAAACCTTGCCCAGGCTTGGATTAGCGGCGGCTTGTGCTGGATCAGTCTAGTGGTTCGTGGGTTGACATGGTTGGTTGAGGAGCTCTGGGCAATTTGGGCATAAGTATTTCGCAGCCTTCCCCCGGCTGTGCCTCGGTATCAAAACCAAGCAGCATCATCAGCTTTGGCTTGTCGTATGCCCCTCGTGCACATGCCTCAAGGCCTCGTGCTGCGGGCTTCAGCATCCTTGTCGGGTCTCGTGAGGGCTCATCCGTACGCTTCAGGGTGATTCTGCGCGTGCGTGATTCGCACTGGCTCGGGCACGAGGCTCACTGGAACGAGGCCGTGGGCTCTTTTGCACTGCGCGTGCGATCCCGGTGCAGGGTGATGACGGCGAGACGTCGATCACACGTGCATCCCGTCTCAGTCCCGAGGCCCTTTCGCCGGAGGGCAGAGCCACTGGGCGGGTCATCAGAGCTGTTGTGATGCACCTGGTTCTGTCTGGCTCATGCGTGACAACGATTGACAGCGTTCGGAGTCCGTGCAGAACATTGGATAATTACTCATGACTCTGGACCAAGACTGCAGCAGACTGCAGAGGGTGATTTGGAGTACCCGAGGCTCTAACGCAACAGAACCGCGCTTGCTCTTCGGAATGAAGAAGCGCGTGACAGAGCGATCTGCTGCCAGGAATCTGCAGAGCAACTTGTGCAACTACTATGTGCTCCTCGCCTGGCTAAGTCCTGCTGCCACAAGTACTTTACCATGTGGTCTGCCGGCGGCAGAATTGAGAAGGTTCTGGCTTTTGATCTTGGATTCTGTGATAGGCCCTACGGCGATAAATATGTCGTCGACCTAGAGATTAGGCTCTGAAGTTGCTCCTGCCCGCCGGTGTCGACGCTTTCCATTTTAAACTTTTTGTTGCTGAATGAACTTGAAGCCTCGTGCAAAGGACCTCCGTGCAGATGTCAACCAATCTACAAGCGGTCGGGCGGCAGTTATGGATCAGGACTTGAACTTCGGATGCGTGTGTGCTGCGTGTGTGAGAGCATAAATTCGGATGCATGTCAACATCAGGGTGTCGTTTCTCTTGGCAGTTCTCCATTTATCGCCTAGCTTCGGGTCTGAGGGTCGCGTGGTGCCGAGATACCCACCAAGATGTGTGCATTGTAATGCAACATCCTACAAGCCTACCCTCTCACAACGTCATGCCGCAATTTGCGCACCATACGACCCCGCAAAGATCGCTGCTCTTTCATTTCGAGGTAGTTGAGTCTGTAGACTTCAAGACTTGCCCTTCACTCAGACGGTGTGGCAGGTAAGGGCCTCACACCTCTAGCGGCCGCAAGCCGCGCCGGTGCTGCCAAGGTGGTACAGAGGCTTCTGGAATGTATTTTGGCTGAGTCCCAGATTCTTGAAGCGATTCGCGGTTGAAGAAGCCCTTCGACAGTGCTCTGGCTTGCTTTTGCAACATGTCCGCAGTTGGCTGAGACATCGAAGCAGACACAACAGAAATCTCGCTCAGGCAAGGCATCCGTGCAACCAGAGGGCTCGACCATCTCTCCGCTCGTCGCGGCATCCACGGCAGGGAGCGTGCTCGCTGCCCGTGCCCAGGATAGAAGCAAGAGATCTTTGATTTGAGGTGCCTGATAGCGACGTGGACGCATTCGGCATGTTCCTGTGTCCTGCGAGGCCTTCTCCTGGCGGCCAGGGCTTCTCCCGAGACGGCGGATGCGGCTGGCCGCCGACCGCTGGGCTGCGCTGCTGCCACTGGCAACCTCGAGCTGCACCTCGACGATTCTGAAAAACTTTCAGCATCTGTGCACGTTTCTTGCATGTCTGGGGCGGGGGTTTAGCTTCTACAAGCGGGTATGGCTGGAGCTGGTTGTTGCGAGGTTGGGAGAGAAATGAGTCGTTGGCGCAAGTGTCTTTGATGAGTCTTCCCTCCCCAAGGTGCCGCTTGCTTTTGGGGACCAGGGCCGACCCGAACCAGCGCAGCCGTGCAGGCGAAACGTCCGAAGGCCGAAGCCCAAGGCCCAAGCTTTTCTGGACGAAGAGTAGCTGAGTAGCAGTACGGGTTCCCTCCTGTAGTGCTGCCACGGCATCGCGTTTTTTTGTTTGTTTGTTTGTTTGCCTCTCTGTGCGTGTGTCTCTGTGTTTGTGCTACGAACGGGCATCCACTCCGACTCCTCCTTGCGATGGGACACTTTTAAGTGCTTTTAGAGCCCCCCCCTTCCAAGGCCCGGGCGCAGCTGCCCTGGCAATTGCCGTTTCGGCTGGGCACAAAGCCCTTGTGGAGGAGCGGAGCGGCGGAGCGGCGGAGCTTGCAGCCATGGGGGGGCCCCGGGCCCCCCCCACAGCGCACACGTCGTTTCCAATCAGTGCAGTGTTGTGAAGGAGCTGCTGGATGCGAGGGCGGATCCCGAAGACGTCAGCGAGCGCGGGCAGAGTCCGCTCATGCTGGCGGCTGGCCTGAGCCGACGCGACCTCTGTGACGAGTTGCTGGCGGCATCTGCTCAAGCCAACGGCACCGATCCGGAGGGGAAGTCGGCTTTGCTGCTGGCCGCGGGCGCAGGTTGCCTCCCGGTCTGTGAGGTCTTGCTGGAAGCTCGCGCAGATCTCGCGCAGCGTACCCTGGCTGGCGCATGTGCGCTGGATTCTGCTGCCGCAAATGGCCATGAGGCTTCTCCGGCACACAGACACACAAACAAACACTGTGATGTAGTGAGCCGTTTGCAGTTGTGGGATGCTGGTCTCGTTTAGTTAGACATGTTGTGCAACACCCTTTGCTAGGCCGTTTGCCGAATGCTCCTGGATGCACGGGCCGATCTTGCTTTAGTGGGACCTGTCGGACGGACTCCTGCCGAAGTCGCTGACTTCGCGGGGCATGCTTCCCTGGCAGAGATGCTTCGAAGATAAAAGCAAAGATGTGCTTGATGCCATATCGCAGTGATTGGCAGAAGTGAGGGGAGGCACCACAATCGCTTCGATCTATGGGTGTCCTGCAATACTGAAGCAGCTTCGAAACCCAATGCCGAAACCCTGAGTCCCACAATGTGAAATCGAGCATGTCGTAGCTACCGCACGCTGCCCGCAGGACCCGCCTCCTGAGACGGAAGCTTCAGTGTCCGGTGCCAGGCTATGGCTGTGCTGAGGGTGTGGGTCCTGTCGGAGCTTGGGGTTCTTCGGCATGCGTTTGTGGCCCAGCTCAACGGAGGTGCGCCAGGGCGCAGGACTTTATCTGAGGCCGGGTACAGATGACGCATCTTACCAGCTGCTCGGAGCGACAGAACGGGAATGGTGGCAACCATTGAAGCCGTAGTTATTGCTCAAAGATTGCTAACATTCTCCGGAACTCTTCGGATGTGGTCGACGCTCCGAGCCAGTGTTTTCCAAGCATCGCACAGATCTCTGCGGCATGTCCCGAGCAGCGGTCCACCTTTGAACTAGCTCACACCATTCGTTGTCCTGTTGTCGCGAATCCCCGCATCGGTTTTTGAGTTGATTTGTAGCTTGCTGCTGTGAGAAGCATAGTCCTAGATACCGAAGACGCAGTAATGGTTGGACCGTTCGTATCCGCATAGTCTATGGCATAGTCTCGTCACATCCTGCCTACGTCTCTGGTTGAGGCAGACCAACTCGTGCTCACAGCAGCTGAGGGTGAAGTAAAGAGTAGGACCCTCCTTTCCCCCGGCTACTGCAACCAACAGCAAAGACAGGAAGATCTATTAATAAGCTGGTGTCTCGGACCAAATGTAGACGGGGTGGATTGTTTCGAGGGCATGCTCGGCGATTCCGGCGTGAGCTAGGGCTTGCATGTTGGGGAAGCTATCCTGGGCGCGGGATGTCTTTGTGGCAATGTCGCTTGGTGGGCTCTTTCGTATTTGTGCAACTGCCAGCTTTGATTGAAGTTTTTGCAGCCCGAACCCGCCCGAAGGACTCCTTGCACATCGGCCCTGGGGCACGCCCCCTTGTGTTTTTAAGATCGAGGTCTCAAGAGTGACGTCCGCAAGCGTCTCAGACACTGAAAACTCCAGATTTCCAGGCTGCAGAGCCTCGTTGCATTCAGGTGACGTCTGGACAAACAGGAGATGCCGGTGGTGGACCTTGTTCAGTCCATCACCAGCGCTTGTGAACTCTGTAGCCTTTCGGTGCCTGGCGTGGCAATTTTCACAACGACTACGCTTTGACTAATTATGAAAGCCTCTCTAACTGCAGCAGATGCCTGATCACTCTTAGAGCACAGCGTGTTCCCACAAATCGTTGTTTGGCACACGGGCTCCGATCGTGCAGCTCCAGATTCGCTGCGTTGGTGGAAGTGGTATTTCCAAATGCGAAGCCTGTTCTTGTTCCGAAGAAGACATTTGCCGACATGGCGATGGTGCGATAGTTGGAGCGCGATGACCCCAAGAAGCAGCGCAGGTACAGCCTCAGATGCGGCAGATTTCGTTCTCACGATAATAGCCGGCCTTCCGCAATGTTTGCGCTTTGTAATCTGCCTCACTGAGTCGGACATGCTCGGCGTCTCTTGGCACGAAGGCCCTGCCGGGCTGATGTTCCACTCACCTCAACTCCATGGCAATGGCCGGGGATGCCAAGTAGCGGTATATGGCATAGCAAACACAGACGATGCATGGGTTTGGCACGTGTTGAGTGATCGGATCACCTTGTTTGAACAAAGCCTGCGAACCTCAAGTTTGTGCAGAAACAACGCCGGCAGTTCCAACAGCAAGCGTCCACAACCTAGACGTAAAGTTGGCTACAGCATTTCTTGTCACTCCTGGCAGACAGGAATAGTTGTGTCCAACTCATCCCCATTAACTGAAACTGAAAAGATTAAACTGCGTCCCGGGGCCCGGAGCTTTCGGTGATCTCTTGTTGCCTGGAGTCGGCTTCAGCCTTGGCATCGTCTCGGGCCGTGGGTTCTCACAACGTGTGAGGTTCTTGTGAATGTACTGACTGGATTCCGGGGTTGTCCCTGTGGAGCGACTGCTCACAGTTAACTGCAGATGTGGGTCCTTCAACTCCCGGAGCGCTCATGAGACAACCCTCGCAGTGCTGGTGGAAGGAGGTCTGCTCTTGCAGGGCCGGGACATCTTGCGCAAACATGATTTCTCCTCCGGTCGCAGTTGCATTGCTGTCACCCGTATTTGTGCTCAAGAATGCAGCTAGCAGATGTCGTTCTTCCAGCGATGCCAGCGGAGAAAGTGGCTAAAGACCCTTTTGCTTGGTCAACTTCCAAAAGAAAAGTTGCAAAACCAGCAGGTTCTGAACACCCGCAGATGCATAGGTGCTTCCAAAAGAGAACATAATACAACAAGTCAGGGTTTGCAGACACAGAACTGCATCGCCTGTGCCGAACAGTTGCGTTATCAGTTTTTTTGCAACATGAGACTTGAAGAACTGACATGTCACAGTGTCACAGTACAAGGCGGCTTGCCCCTGTTTCACAGACTTGGAAGTCAGTGCTCGGCCGTTGTGGATTGTGTGTGTGTGTGTGTGTTCGATTGCCGGACCTACTGTCCAGGGTACGTGCCCACAACTTTAAGACTGCTCTACTTTTCAACACTTGATTCCACTAAGGACGCTTTCGAGATGCATGGAACCCCCAAGGAATTCAATCAGATCAATAGACTTCCACATCGGCTAAAGTTTCTTTGGACATTCTGCCGTATTCTCCGAGTGCACAGACGTGTGCCCCACCTGGAAGGTGTCGAACCGGTGATCTCCGGCATGTTTTGAAGTCAGGAGCAATCATAAGGGCTTCTTGGAATTTCAGCTCGGGTCATAATTGGCAAGCACCTGGCTGTGCTTATTGGGTTCTGGGGTGCTTCCGACCGTGTGTGTTTCTTGGTGGGGCTGTCTCGCTTGTGAACTGTAATGGCAGTGGAGCTTAGGGCGATGGTTTCGTGTTTGCTGGGTTCTGTGCTGATGGAGTGCTGTAGCCGGAACATGTGCATGCACCCGAAACCTGTGGGGTATGCCTCGGTGCACCCTGTGGCTTCTCAATGCGTTCATCTTTGACCATGGAACCAAGCCCAAATCCCTTCATGTCCAATGTCCAGTCCATACGTCCGAACATGCGACAGATGCTCCAGTAGAGCACGTTTCCTCTGCCACAGACTCTATGCATGCGGCGAAAACTTCGTTATTGACGAAGCCGCGGATTGCTCCAACAGCCCCGTTCCTTACCTCGACTGAAATCGATCCCGGACCGCTTTGCAATGCCATGGAGCTGCACGGGCTGCGCAGAAAGACGGCGGCTCCCTTTGCAAGGGCAGTTGGATGAAGGAAGGAGTGTGTTACTGTGAGTCGAGTTGTCATATGTTCAAGTGGCTACTGTGGTGCAGGTGCGAAATTGGACATTTCTCAGCATATCATCTATATGTAAGGGTCACGTGGTAGATTAGGTTGATGCAGAATCTAGATTCGCTAGATGATGGTCTCCTCCGCAGATAGATCGGTAGTCACGAGAATCGACGGATCGCCCCAATCAATGGACGAAGACACAGCACAAACAGTCAATTCACCGATCCATCGCATCGATTGCTGCGTAGGTCGGTCGGGATAGCATTTTCGACAGGTTTGCTCGCAAGATAGTGAGGAGTGTGCATACTTACCTTTGCGCATCTCGCCACGAGTGCGACGTGCTAGGTCACTTGGGTTAGAGAAGACCATCCGACCGTCAGACCGCACAAGATCATGAACTCGCGGGTTAGGCTTGGTAAGAAGAAAATGGCGAGTAGGTGTCGCGAAATTTCGGTCGATTTGGTTTGGGTGGCATAAACGACTCTGCACTCAGCTTCAGCTCAACCTTCCGCTGCAGCCTGCGATGCCTTGGCGGAACCTTCCGAGGCTTGGCCGGCTCAGCCTTTGCTTGCTGGCGCTGGTGTTCAGCCGGCTTATACCCGGCCAGGTGAAGCGGGAGGGAGCCAGGGAGCCCTTGTCCACAGGCAAGCTTCTGGTGTGCTCTTTGGATATTCCCCCCTAGTTCTTTACAGAGGCAAGTTAAGCAGGGAGGAAGATGTTGAGCTGCTGTGAGCTGGAAGCTAAATCTTGAAGATTTTGCCAAGGGTTGGATGTATCTTCCGGATTTACCGGCTGTCAGACTGCGTCAGACTGTGCACTGAGGCACTGGATGCAAACGAGCGGATCGTTCAGGCGACAGTTGTGCATGCAGAGGAGGTGTAGTTGCGCGCCATCCAGCCTGAAAGCGTTTAGTCCCAACCTGTCACAGAAAGACTGAATTGCTAGATTCTAGCTGAGAATCCGACAGAGAAAGAATTTCTTGGACCTGTTGCATCGGCCGCTCCCTCGAACACGACATGAACAGCAGTTTTGTTGGCCAGTCTCCCTCCACTACTTTACTAGCTGGATCAGCTCATTCGGACGATGGGTGTGACCGTTGCTGTGCGAAAGAATGGGCTCGCAGTTGTTCGTGCATGAGTGAATCGCCTGGAGGCGCTCGAGCAACTAGCTTCCGAGAAGTACGATGCCTTGGACTGGCTAGAGCACGCAGGCTGGAGCATGGCAGCAGATATAGCACCGCGCTCCAAAGCACAGCTGCGAAGGGCCTTTCGTGCCTTGATTCTCCACCCCGGCATGGCATTGTCTGGTGCCGCCCTCAAGCCACGCAGTATGCCGAGACTATTCCAACCGGATGCTCTCGGTCGTAAGTTTAGAAACCAGCAGTAGGCGCGATTGAGATTACAACTTCGCAGGCATATTCCAACTTGAACCCCCTCCCTCCGCACAATTCGGGGTTGGTGATCTCGAACGTCAACTGTTAGGGCGCCCTTTGAGTCCAGTCCGGCATCCAGATTACGGCGGCCGCTTTGCCAAACTTGCGAGTGCAGTTGCATGTCGTGATGTCCTCGCTAGTGCAGAGTGCCTCTCCGCAGCTTCCTGGTTGCACAGCC